GTTGTATGGATTATTTATGTAAACACCAAACCCCGCAGAATTCGAGGTTATGAGAACAGGTTGACATTTCGAAATAGGTTCCGTCATTCAACGATACGTTGAATTTACCGTTTATACTTGTCTATCTTATTGTCACTCTCTATTTATCCATGGTTACCGGAGTTTTAAATAATTACGAAGCAACGGCTATTTGCGCAATGTTAATTAGGCAGATTACCTTGAAAAACATTGATGTCGTATTTCTGATAGTTTTTTCCAAATTTATCAGTTTTTAATAACAATTAATTTATTTTACTAGTTTTTCTGTACTCCTATAACACCGCGAGACAACACCCCCAGAGGAATGACGCCAATTTTGAATCACGCTGTATACGCAAATGTATTTTCATGTTCATCCCGAAGCCTCTACTCGGGCAGGGCGACAGAATACGATTTAGAAGTTTTACGACCATCTGTTCAAAGAATTTAAGCTGAACATGGCATCCCAGTAATGCACCACAACTTCACAAGAGTAGTGTGAAATTATTTTAATACGAACGCAAGAAAATTCCGCATTTTTACGCAAAATTATATGGACCGACGAATCAAGATTTACAAAAGAAGGTATTTTTAATAATCGTAATTCCCATTTCTGAAAAATAAAGCTGAAAGCACGTGGAGCCCACACGTAGATAAAGTCAAGCAGAAGGCTACTGTCACTATGTGTCACTTGCGACGGGCGCTTGGGAAAAACTGGAGCCTAAAACCACACGTTATGAAGTGGTTGTACACTGCTGTTATAAGACCTCGGATCTGTTATGGTTCCGTGGTATGGTGGCCGACGGTGGAGAAGGCGTGCATATCCCGGAAAGTGACAGGTCTGCAAAGACTGTCCTGCCTAGCGATGACGGGCGCAATGAAGACGACACCGAGCTTAGCATTAAACATTCTCCTGGGCCTTCCTGAGCTCACCCTGTGGATACGCAGTGTTTTACGAAGTGATTACTTTAGGACCAGAAGGAGTGATCGAGATCTACTCCGACAGCCAGGCTGCCCTCAAGGCACTCTCAAGTGTTAAGATGGACAGTAGACTGATCCAGGATTGCTAGGATGCCCTGAATAAAGTGGCAGAACGGAAACAATTAAACCTGGTGTGGATTCCGGCGCACATAAGGTTCGCGGAAAACGAGCGAGCCGATGCATTGGCAAGGCTCGGATATGTGGAGAGCCCAATAACTGCCGAACCTCACATAGGGTTAACTAACCGACAGGTAGAAAGCGCTCTAAATGACTGGCCTCTTATAGGCACCACAGAGATGTAGACAAGCCAGAGTTGATAGAAACCACAAGTGACCCCAAGGTAACATCCAATTGGTTGACATCAAGGAGTCGTTGGACCCTGAGAACTCTAGTTGGGGTCATGACACCTACACCTACAAGGAATTGGCGATGCCTTTTATGTCCACAATGTGGACATAAAGAGGAAACATCGTATGACCTTGTAGGAGTATGCCACCACGGGACGTCTACTAGGAGGCGCCTCCTTGGGGCTTCCACACTCCTTGCAGGGGAAGCGGGACGCCTGGGTGGCGAAGATCAGGAGTGGTAAGTAAAGCGAATGGCGAAAAGAGCCTTTACGGCTTACTCGCCGGATCCGTCGGATCCCCCCACAATAGTACTACTACTACTACATTTGCGTTAATTATTCATGATTATTCTCAAGTGCGGTATCATATTTATGAGGAAGTATTGAATAGCTAAAGATACTTGGCAATTTTGCAAACCTTTGTCACAGACTTTGTTGATAATCTGCCTATGGATAAAAAAAGATTTAGATATTGATGGTATCAACTGGACGGTGGTCCTCCACATTTTGAAACTGTGGTAGGCCAGAAAATGTATGAGATGTTTGAAGATAGATGGATTATGCGCCTAGGACCGTGGAATTAGTCACCAAGGATTCCAGACTTAAAACCATTAGAGTTTTACCTTTGGGGAACAATAAAGCAAAAAAATTACTGTACTCCCTTCGATTCTGTGGTAGAACTACTAGCCCGAACTTTGGACTAACTGGATCCAGCTGAAATAACAAGTGCTACTACAGAAGCTGTTATGTCTAACATTCAAAAGTGTTTAAGAGTCAATGGGGTTTATATTGAACATTTATCTTTTTCTTCTTCCTCTTTATATAGGCGCATCGCCTGTTTAGTTGAATTTCTTTGAAGCAGTTCTTGCGAGGTTGATTGCCAACTGTCTTGCAATCGTTTTGGTGGTCGTCCTACACAGAGACAAGGGATAACTATTACTTGTCTCTGGTTCTACATGGTCTTCTTCCATGTGGTGTGTTGTTTAGTACTATCTTGGCTATTCCGTCGGAACTCATTCGGTTGACCTTAGGTCATTTATATTAAAATAAATTGTGTGATTAGTTTTATTGTCACGTATTGCTTTTAATTACGGTTCATCGCTGCAATTTCGTAAAAACACGTTCCCACAATTAAAACAAAACCGTAAATAAGTTTAAAACTACTAGAGTTTGGTATAGCGAAACATTTCCTATATGTGAACACATAGGAAATGTTCTAGCCCAGGAGCGAGCAACCTTTTTTATCAACAATTTAGATTTAAAAAAATTTTGGCGAGCCGCACATAAAGTAACACTTATTAATAATTTGCAAAACTTTATTTATAATAAACATTAGAATAAAAATATGTGAAAAAAGTAAAGATTTCATATACAAATTTTAATGCAAATTAAAACAAACAAGAAATGAACAGAAAAACTAATTTACTTAAAATTTTTAAAGATAAATTTGGCACTGTTCTTTCGATAAAAGCTGATCAGTATCAGTCGGAATTGAAGAGGAAGCTACATTTTGATTAACTCTTCTTCAACGTTACGTGACGTATAACGCACTTTGTCCGATAATGAGTGTTTAGCTCGTGTCCCATGCATCCGTTTATACGATGAACTGACAGATTTCCAACCAATAGAAACACTTTCGTATCATCGTATAAACGTATGCATGGGACATATACTTTAACCATTAGACACGTCGTAGTTAATTCTGCTTGTTTTATCAGCGCGAAATGCCACGGGAAGGTCGAGAAGTGTTTGTATGTATATTGTCATTTGATATTTTATTAGCTCTTGACGCCTAATTAATAACATCCCAAAGTGGTTCATAAAGCAAAACTGACTATGTTGATGCAATATAAGACGTTGCTTTATTCAAGAACCGAAAGTGTTTTAAGGAAATAAAATAATATCTTCTTCTTCGTGTAAAATGGCAAAGTCATTAAAAATTGTGTTATTTTTTTTCGAGCAAACTAGTGGTCTGAGGAAAAAACAATAAGATGTAAAAAAAGTTGGTAAATAACTTGTAGTAATGAAAACAATTAGGTCGAGAAAAGTTTAAATTCAGACAAAAAAGTTCTGAACAAAACAAAAGGAAGGGTTCCATATTCCTGCCCTGTGTAAAAGCAAACTGAACCACGAAACACTATCATAGAATGGCACTCAATTAGCTTATATGTAATGTGTACCAGAATTGAAGTTTCTATGTTTAACCGTTTTAAAGAAAAATAACAAAAACTAATACTTACCGTCATTTTTTTGTCACCATTGGAAATTGGAGTCTTCTAACATACCAACGCTAAATTCATCAATGAATTTATACAGTAATTTACAAGTATCTACTTTATTTCAGCGTAAAAAATATCACCATCGTCATATTATAGCAATTTTAATGGATAACAAGAAAATTGGAAGATTTCAGATAGGGATATGGAACGTGTAATATTTATTTTTGAAACCTTTTTCAGATGTTTTGGCTTCCAAAGTCCTACACGTCGAAATTTCGTACGACGCAGTGAGAGTCCAGTTTTGCGCCCTAGTCCACTTTTACGCGCAAAACGCAAACTTGATGACAGAGACGTCGACTTTTCTATTAGCCCCCGAGCCAAACGGGTCAATACGTACTCAGGGAGTGATGGCAGAGGATTGTTAACCACTACAACAAATTCCTTGCAAGGTAAAATTTAATGAAATCCATCCACGAAGCTATAATAGCCTTTATGAATGTTTTGGTTAAAGGTTCCTTAAGTTCAGTTGGAACTCCTGAAAGCCTCTCTAGCGCGGATTCTCCAGGTTCCGGATTTGCATTTCGTCCAGTTGACAGTCCATCGCCGACACTGGAGGGTAGCAGTCAAGGAGAATCCATGATGGGCAAAGGGGGAGATCAAGACATGGCTGAAAGTCCCAGCTAATTATCATTCCAAATAGAAATGGAAGACGGAAAGATTTACGCTTTTTGAATGAGAATGAAATAGTATGGTGTGATGCAGTGTAAACATTTTAAAATCTGTGTGTTTTGTTGATGTGTAGATATCTGTAAGTACTTGGGTTAGGTTTGAAAACGTATTTAAAGTTTATTAGAGCAAAGCCAAAGTAATATTTGAGAGACTCGCGGAGAATTGTGAAATATATACATATATTTTGTAGTGTTAAGTAATCCTTGTTTCCAATGTTTTCAAGTGGTCAACCGCAGATTTATTCGGATACTCTTAGCTTTTCCTAGCTTAGGCTCCGATCTAATTTGTTCTCACTGTTCTGCAAGATTGATCAAGAGGATTGTAACCGAATTATTTATCATAAGGTAATCTAGAATGTGTTCAAATATGTCTAATTTTGCAATAACATTTAATATTATAACTTTTAGATCATCTGGAAAAGTGCTATTTGACTAAAAATACAATTCATTACTTGAAGTTTTAATAACTTCTGAAATACTGTTTCTGTAGGATTAGCAACACGAATTATTTGAAGTTGTTTTGTCTTTCGAGTTGTTAAATTTAAGTCTCGTCAAATTGAATGGATACAATTTGCATAACTGGAGATTATGATAGGTGAGTTTATTCACAATAATTACTTGAAGATTGTTATTAGGACTTTATTTGTATTAACATAGACATTATTCACAATAATGCAAACCTGAAATACTTCGTAATATCAGAAGTTTCAAATTTGCTAATATGAAAAAAGTTTTTTACTACCATTATTATATTTGTTAATCAAAATGAAACTCTACTTACATCTTCAATAAATCTGTTTTGACACACTGGTGTCTGATTTCGGTGCTATTACGCGTACATGTGGCGTGCTAAAGTTTTGGGTTAGATGTCAACACTGTTAATTTACAATTTGAGGATTTCAGTGAGGCTGCTCAGGGACAAAAATACTTTTGTTGATCGCCTGGTGGACAGTACGTACTTTCGCCACTGTTTTTGATCGCGAAAGCATCACTTTTGCTCATTACAAATTGTCTTTATCCCGATTATTATATTATTCGCGAGTTCAAAAGTCCAGACGCCCCCTGGTAGTTACAATTATAACTACAAGTTAAGTAGTAATTTGACATTTGTTTTGTTGACATTGGTGTTTACATCTGCTTGTGATTTTTTGTTCAAATCAATTTTTGAAAGCTTTTAAAGAAATAGAAACAGATCGAAAAGTATGTAAGTATTGTTTTATGTTATAAATGTCATCAACACCAATAAATAAGTCTGACAAGTCTAACTGTTACTCGACCCCGAGTAATTTGACGTTTCGCCGCGCCTCTATCGGTAGTTGAACTCGCGAATACATACTTTCTACCGGGGATACCAAGCTACGCATTTTGAAAAAGTAACGCTCGTCGTGTAAGAACGAATTTCTCCAAACGTGAAAAAAGCTCTGCTGAAATGCTCAAACGTAACAATTACATACAAACGGTACGTACACAAGTAACAGCATTGTCCGCACTAGTATCTAAATGGATAAGAAATAGAACAAAAATAATTTAAAGGAAATACGATTCTATTTAATAATTATTATTAAATTTAAATTACCTCATACTAAGAATTAACAATAGTAATATACTTATGTTAGCTATGCCAATTTTGTCGGTTTATTTTTTTGAAACAATTTTTGTTGTCCTCCAGGTTTGTTAGCGCGACCCCCAAAGTTACCTGCAAAAAAATATTATAATTAAAATCGTTTTTTAAAACAATGCTTGCATAAACATAAATCTATCTAATTATGGTATGGTAATGGCATCAAAATAGCTGTCAAAAAAATAAAATAAGAATGAGTCAAAGTCATTGACATCAACAAAAATTATCAGGAAACATCAGTAGCGGATGTTATGGACTCGAGCATTCAAGGTGGTGAAGTATCAGCCTGATAAATATCGAGGGAGACAATCGCATGGAAATCCGATCAAGAATAGAGTGCACGCGCGCGCTTTCAACAGAATGAGAAAGGTTATTTGCAGTAGAGATCTTAGTTGGACGGACAAAGTCCGAAACTTAGATATACTTAAACATCTAATTAAAAACGCTGAAATCTTATCAAACGGAGACAATTTGAATACTTCGGTCATGTAATGAGGGCGCAAAATACAGACTACTGCAAACATGCAGGGTATCATTGCTGGCAAGCGTGGTCCTGTTAGACGCAAAACATCATGACTGAAGAATTTACGCGATTGGTGTGGCGTGACCTCAAGCGCACTCTTCAGGTTGGTGACCGAGGTTCTGGGAGGGCATGGTACATGAAGAAGACGAAGGCCATCGGAGTGCAAACGAAGTGCTGTCTGGACTTTTTAAAAAGATGGCGTGAGGACATCCAGAAGACTGCTGGGAAAAAAACTGGATGAGGGCTGCTATGGACAGGCAAATATGGAAGATGCCGAATTCAGGAGTGGATGAGAACAGGCTCATAAGAAGAAGATTCTTTCCCACCTTCTAAGGCGGCAGACCAACGGAACCACCCGTGATCACTGGTGACCATCAAGCAGATTTCCAGCATTTACTATTACCATTCTACAATGGCTAAACACCGCTCGAAATTGTCAACGTGGCCTAAATTAGTGGTGGAAAAAGGTGGGTGGTTATAAACGTCTAAACAGTTGAACCCGATATATGATTGCTGTAAGACCATTCGTTGCAGATTCCTTGATTTTAGTAGATGGTGATAGCGAGTGGTTCCTGTGGGACAGCAGCTTTTTAGCCAAAATGTATTGGTTTCCATGAGATTAATTCTATGCGGCATGATTTAGAATTTGCAACATAAGTAAAACCTTACCTCTAGCTGCAGGTCTGTTCCTTTGATTTTGACCACCACGACCTCCTTTTTGATCGCGAGATTGCTTATTCTTAGTAACAGTCTCTTCTTTAACCATATCAATAACTTCATCAGGTATTCGTAAATATTTTATTGTGCTGCCTCGAATGTAACATTCTGGCATTCTCCAAAACTTGTCACCATCTCTGGAGGTGCAGATTACTTCTCTAAGGTTGATGTTCATCCAATTGTCACAGCTCACTAGATGTCCATTGTATGTTTCGCCATTTTTCAATTCTACCAACTAAATATAAAATATTTATTACAGTAAGCTTGTCAGATGCATCAAAGCCGCTTGTCAGATGCATCAAAATGAAGAGTTTTTAAAAATCGGGATCTACCAATAACAATGAAAATACGTCTACTACGCTGGTATGTGTTTTCAATCTTATTATATGGAGTCGAATCATGGACGAAGGCTTGACTATGAAAAGTGTGAGATCAACGATGAAATCAAAAAGAAACTCGAATACTTGGGTCATATAATAGAAAACGAAGATCGGTATGGGCTGCTGCAGCTCATTCTTCAGGGCAAAATATATGGCCATAGACAGCTTCAAAACCTCAGACAATGGTTTGTCTTAACCACTACTCTTCCGTGCAGCAGTCAATAAAGTTAGAATTACAATGGATACAAGTAAATACAAGTAGGTATTCGATAATTTTGTTTCTATGCCGAGAACTTTGGTAATTGAATTGAACCAATACTTGGTATCGAAATAAAGTACTCGTATCGAATCGAAGTATCGTATCGTCGTAAATAATCAAATTATCAAAACTGTAAACACTGTCACAGTGAAAATTGATAAACATCATTTATCAATTTTCAATAATAAATATATCAATAAAACGGACGCATTTTTACAAATTTCGGCCAATAAAGGTAAATACATTATTTCTAATAGGTACTTTTTCTTTATTGAATATAATCGATATATCTATTTTGGAGAGAGGTTCAAAATACAACAAAATAGTGCAGGCTTTAGCGTTTTTTGTCTGCAATTATTTGCGGCCTTCCAACATTGTAGAAGGAGAAGGATTTTTACGTCTTCTGGAAGTGCTTCAACCTAATTTTAAGGTACCTGCTTAGTGCAGCATATTCAAAAAAAATATATAAAAAATATGAAGCTTGTGTAGCTATAGCTAAACCGAAATTGTCAAAGATTGACAATATTTGTCTCAGATTGGTCATTTGGACAGAAACAATGAACGAGCGAGGTTTCTTAGGTGTGACATATCATTTTCTTCAAAATAGTATAATGCATAT